CGTTCTCAATGAGGAAAATCACCAAATTTTGTCAATTCGCAGCGTTTTGAGCAAAGGCTTTAAGTCTCCGTGCCATTGGTTGGTATGTACATACGTAAGATTGCATTCAGGGTATTGATGATGTTTTTCTGAAAAATCCTTGCAGGATTATGGTGTCACACCTGAATACATATGTAAGCGGAATGAGGAAGTAAAGAAAGCCCAGGAAGAATATGATTGTTATATCCAGGAAAAACTCAGGAAAGCTGCTATGAAAAGTCTCTCCGATGAAGAAAGGGAGGCAGTTCTGCAGGTGAGTGTCCTGCAGTTTATGTTCATCTGGAACTCTCTGGAACATCTCTGAAAGAAAGATCTACCATCAACTTGATTATTAAAGCCAGCATTTTTTTTTTGAAACCAGAACAATCTCTTTTGGTTATAGCGGCAAAGTACTCGCAGCAAAGCCAACTCTTTGGGGAGAGCAAAAAGTTGTAATATAGGGGTTCATTCGATAATATTTTGTTTCCAATTTGGTGAGCTTCTGTTTTTTTCCTGAACTAGTGCTGTAAGAAAACCTACCTTCTCCTCCAACAAACATGCATAAATAAGGCAAAAAAAGCATTTTTATTTTCATTCTTATGTCCCTGAATTTGTAAAAAATAATATTCATAAATTAGATATCTTTCACTAGATGGAGCTCTAGAATAATTGAAACGGTCTTTAGACCAACATTTTCCTTTCCTAAAAGCCAAATGTCCAAATTTTTAAATAAAACAGGTATTAGGCTTTACATATATCTTTCTTATTTTGAGTAAAATAAACTTAAACATATACTTACATTGGAGTTTTCAATGTTGGACTTTTATCTGAAACATTTAACATATTAGGGGGTGTGAGTGGGGTTGCTGCTTCGCCATTTGTAGAATGTTTATTAAGCACCTACTTGCACCTTCTATAGCCATGCTCATGCTATTATAGAGGTATAGATGGTACTTTTGTCTCGGCTTTTTACTTCGAAAGCTTTCTACAAAGCCATTTCTACTCCCTTCTTAATCTCTGTTGAAAAATGGATTCATCTGCTGTTACAAATTCTTAACATTTTATCAGTCATCATAATCATCAATAAACATTTCTTACATGCTAAGCCCTGAGGATATTTAAAAAAGGCATAAGATAAAACTTCTGCTATAGAGAGTGTTGTAATTTAATTGATGTAATTTAATTGGCATCTATATACATGTACAGACGTGAACGAGTGCGTTTGCGTGTGTACAGATCGTAAGTTGTATAAGGTTCCGAGGCAGCAGTCACCACTGACAGATACGGATCTTTAGCTGGGCCCAAAAGTGCAGAGTGAGAGGGTGTCCCAGACAGCAGGAGCGGCTTAAGGGCAGAGACTGTGTCTGTTTGTTGGTAGCGGCGTCCCCAGGGCCCCCATGCCCAGGACGTTCAGAGCATGCTGGAAAGGAGGGAAGCAGACAGGCAGGGAGGCTGGCAGACACGGGAGTGGGAATTGGCATGTCACTTTCAGGGAGCGTGCTGGTCTGTGGCCCCTTCTCTCCCTCTTGTTTGGAGTCTCCCATTTTCAGAAAGTACATGCCTTTGTGAAAGCCACATCTTTATACCTAAAAATGCTGAAAAGGAACAGACTCTTCCCTCCTGTGTGTTTTGGCTATAGTAGATAAGCAGCCCTCAGCTTCCTATCGTGGTCACTGCAGACCACGATGCGACACCTTACTAGCCAGGGAGTACAGCTGCGTAGTAAGAAAGCCACTGACTGTCCTCCTGACAGCCAGAGCCCTGCTTCCTTCCCCGGTTAACAGCTGCACACAGTTCTGGGACAGTGTGGTTGTATGTCTCTAAGTCCCATTCTGCTCACGCTTCATAAAGTAACAGTCTCATTGTACCCGGAAGAGATCATCTGTCTCATGATTCCAAACTTCATTATACCTGGAAGGGATCATCTGGTCTAATGATTCCAAACTTCTCATTTTACAGATGAGGACAGAAAATACAAATAGATGAAGCGGGCTCATTTGTTCACTCATCCTTTCGTTCGTTTATTGAACATCTACTATGTGCCAAGCACAGTCCCCAGCCAGGGGGATACTGCAGTGAGCAAAACAAACACAGCCCTTACTGTCAGTGAACTTAGAATTTGGTTTGCATTTTCCCTTGGTCACAAAATTATCAAGTGGATGAACAGGGACTAAAACTCACGTTTACCAATGGCCAGGCTGGTGTTTTCCCCGCTGCATGGCACATGCACGCGCAGGAGGTGGCGGAGGAAGCTCTATCAGTCAGGGCTCCGACAGAAAACAGAAGACCCACTCCACTGGGATTTGGAAGAGAATGTAGGAAGGAACCATTTACAGAAGAGAAGTAGAGTTAAGGGAACCATCGAGGAACGCCGAGGACCCCAAAACTAAGGACAATGGGAATTCGCCACCACCTGGGCTTGAAGGGCAGGGACAAGAAGCAGCGTC